CTTACTCTCTATAACTGTCACCAAAAATAACTCCAAAACCCAAACGTTATTAATGTATGAATGAATGCAAACATCCATTCAATGCATTCAATGCAAAGCCATTCAAACTCTTTGGCGGCAAATGATAGCAAAAGTTGTAAAGTTTTAATCAAATTGAATTTTAATTATAATTTTTACTTAAAATTATATTATAAATAGTAAAATACGCTTATATTCAACAAAATAAGTATTTTATTAATAATTCAATAGTAATAATACAATAATTGCATAATTATTACAATTAGTTGTCATTTAAACATATTTTTGTTATTACCGTAAATTAAAATCTTTACTCTTCTGTATAGACAGTGGCGGCGAAGAACAGACACCACAGCCTATGGATAACGGGAATACATTAAAATATTAATGTAACAAAAATATTGTTCCCTAATAATCGTTTAACTGATCCAATGTGTTGAGCGATCACTAATCACATCCATTAATCAGTAAATCACATCCCAATAGACACACAAAATACACCGCTTTTAAACGTCTTTATGTATGAGTCGTTTGTGTGTTTGAAGAGCGCGGATATGTTTGGTCTTAAAGGCACAGCCCTTCCAATCGCACGGTATCTGCGGTCCCGAGTGAACCAATTGGTGTTTCTTAAGCACATCCCGTCGTTTAAACGTTTGGCCGCATTCGGGCCAATCACAGGTCAGTGACCGCTCTGTGCTGTGAGTTATCAAATGCTGTCTAACCATGTTTTTACTTTTGCCCCTATAGTGACAACCGGGCCATTCGCACGGGTAGGGCCTCTCATCGGTGTGAACCAATTGGTGAGACCGCAAATTATCCTTAACGTTTGTCTTATAGTCACATCCGGGCCAATGGCACGCATACACTGGCAACCGGTCGGCCGCGTGAGTCATCTTATAGTGGATACGCAAACTATCATTAGTTTTATAGGCGCGGTCACAGCCCGGCCACGAGCACCGGTAGTTGAGGCCACGCACTGTGTGACTGACTTTGTGAGAGCGTAAGTTTGGTTTGGTATTACACGTGTAGCCACAGGAGGGGAAATCGCACGCAAACGGCCGCCCAGTCGAGTGTGGGTACGATATATGGGACTTAATTTCATTGCCGGACACAAATCGTTGACCGCAACCCTCGACGGGACACTTGTATGGCTTGTGACGATAGTGTCGGTGGACCTCCATCTCCGAGTTTTGTTCTTCGGGAACACTATTACCACTCATTACCGATGATATTGTGGCCATCAGTGGTCTCCGGTGTGTCTTCGTGTCGACGCTGGACATCAGATGCGGTAATTTGTGTCTTAAGAGTTGCCAAAACTGTTTTCCATTCAATCCTTGTTTAATAAAATATTTTATATGTTTATATTGTTTGAAATATTGTTTAAAACAGCAATTTGTGTATATTTTTATGAATACCTGATTTAGTATTAATTTGATTGTTGCCAACATTTTGTGTGTTTTTCAATGAGTGATATTTTTTCTCACATTTAATCAAATCGTAAAATATTTCAATATTTGGATTACATTTACAATTATTTATTAAAATCCATGATTTTTGTCTAATTATTGCCAAACATTCGCAAAGTCTTCGGTTGTCTTCAGGCAATACATCCATTAAATCGTTGAATATTTTGAACATTACATAAAAATAAAACAATTAATTAGTTTAAGAACTAAACATTCAAAAAACATGTTGTAATACTATTAATAAATACCTGATTTAGCGTTGATTTGAATTGCGTTAACATTTTGCACTTTCAACAAGTGATACATTTTATTAAATTTAAGCAAATCGTGGAATATTGAAATATTTTGATTACATTTACAATTATTAGTTAAAACCATTGATTTATCCATTATTTTTTCCAAACATTCACACAATTGTATCTCAAATGACAACTCTTTGCAAAGTTTGTCATTGTCTTCGGGCAACACATCCGTCAGATCTTTCATAACTTTTGTCTCAGACATTGCTTTTCAAAAACAAGTGATTATAATATTTAATTAATATCAAGATTAAATTCGAATAAACTTATCATACAATCACTTTTATGTACTGCCTATACATAAAACATGATAAAACATATAGAAAATGTATGCAATGTCAGACCCAAGTTACCTTATTTAGTTAGCCCAACCATTTATTGCATAACACAATGTAATACTAATCCTTTGTTTCTTACATAACATAAAGAGTAAAACATTTTGGAGTCAAAGTTTATGTGAAGGCAAACATTTTGGGCTCTTTTTATAGCTAACGTAAGAAACATGCGGTCAGTATTGCATTGTGTTATGCAATAACGGATTACCTTAAAAACGGCATCTTTTTCAGGTGTGGCACAACTTTTTACATTTCTTTTCATGTTATCTCTTATACTGTAAATGACATACAAATGATTAGAATTAATGCGATTAAAAGTTTTGAGTTTTAATTATTGTAATTAAATCACAGCTTATTTTTAATAAGTTTTTATTATTGAAAACTAATGTCTGAAATAAAAGTCAATCACTTGTTGGATGTGTTGCGCGAAGACAACCAAAGACTAACTAAAGAGTTGGTATTTGAGAGACAATTGTCTGAGCGTTTGGCAAATAATTATAGAAAATCATTGGTTTTGATAAACAATTGTAAATGTAATCAAAATATTGAAATATTTCACGATTTGATTAAATTTGAGAAAACGTATCACTCGTTGAAAGGCATGCAAAATGTGGACACAATCCTAATCAACGATAAAACAGGTATTGATTTCACATTTACCCTAATTTCCAGGCATTTAAACCAATCCTTAGAATACAATATAAATTGTATTGCCCTTTATATTGAGTGTTAAATAATTTAATTGTTTGTCAATTAAGATAATGTGATTATAACGAGCGGTAAATCAAATGACACTATATTTATCACCGCAAAGACACCGTCTGTTGGCCGCCAGTTGTGTAACACAATTCAAAGCGACAGTAATTCCGGTAAATATTTAAAATATAATAACTTTTTTATTTAATTATTAATTCATTTTTACATTAAATCTCAGAAACAAATGAATCAAATGAAGTGATGGCCGCGAAGTCATTGTTGGATACAATCGCCGCCACCGAAGACCTAAGCGCCGACACCATTACGCCAGACAATGGCCGCGAAGATATCGATGAAACCGGCGATGACTGTAATGAGCAACACATGACACACACAGAGATGTTGAACGCGACATCATCTCAAGACACGTCACCACCCGATCCGGAGGTCAATCACTGCCACAAATGCCTGCAGACATTCACCTCAAGACACGAGTTCCAGACCCACAACAGTCTGGTTCACAGCAAACTTCAGATGAATCACGTGTGCGACGACTGTCACTAGGCCTTCCACTCGGACTACCAGTTGGCCAGACATCGGGCCTCAGATCATGTCATCGACTTATCGCCTAAGGCAACAACCAATGGCGGACACAAGCGATCGTTGGCCGCAACCCCTCACCGGCCGGCCATTAAAATCCGCAAAACTGGGAACCAATTGTTGCCCAAAAGTATGAATAAGAAGAACAATCAGATGAAAATAACGGACAACTCGTCGCTCAAGACTCGGCCACTGAAGTGCGATATCTGTTCCTATATCGCAGACAGCGCTCGAGCGCTCGCAACCCATAAGGTGTGGCACTCGCGGGGCGGCGCCGGCGAAGGCGCCGGTAGACCGGATCGACAGTCATCGCCTCCAAGAGTGCGATCGATGTCGGGCTCGTCAGACACGCCGTCCACCGTATCGTCGAGCGGTTCCAGAGGTCGTGACAACAACGGCAACAAAAGAAGCGCTGATACCACACCACTCGAGTCCATGGATCTGGTTTGGGCCAAATGCAAGGGCCATCCCTGGTATCCGGCGCTAGTGGTAGACCCGGACACCAGTGACGGACCCTATAAGCCGGCCGAACGCGTGTTGCGGACCCGACCGCCGCCCACCCCTGGCGTCGACCACTATCTCGTCAACTATTTTGATGAGTATCGGCTCTGGTATGACATCTCTGATTGTTGTTCGCCTAACAGTTCCCATGTGTTTAACTTTTGTGTCCCACTGTTTGTCCCACACGTGTAGGCAATGGCTGAGCCGTAAACGCTTGTTCCCGATCGGTGTGGACGCAGACATTGACCGTAAAAAGTTGATTGAATGCCCCGAAGAGGGCGAACGCAAAGCCGTGAAGATGGCCTTCAAAAGGGCCCTCAAATTCATGGCCCGAAGTCAGGAGTGAAGATATGATCGCAAATGTGCTAAAGACCTGATCCAGAGGTTTGACTGTAGCGTAAGGTCTCATTGAGTAATAATTTAGTGATTTTCAAGCAATCAAATCAACGCTAATTCGGGTATAAATGTAGATTTGCCCCTAAATTCCTATTTGTAAACCACTTCTTATAATAAGAAAATTATTTCATTTCAAAAGTAGTCAACGAAGAAGTGCTTAAAATTAATGTCAAAACAACTGATCAAATAATTTAAAAAAAAGTATTAAATAAAACATTTATCCAAAAGTTTCTTGTATTTAATGACAAATTAATTTGCACTAAAAATACTATTTTTAAATCAATTAAAGTCAATGTTGACGAACGGACGTATAGGTGCCCACACGACCGGTGCAGCACATCGTACGACACGCGCCGCGGCCTCAACGCCCACACCGCGCACTACCACCCGATGGCCGTCGCTATCACCGGCCATACACTGGACAAGTTGCCGACCGGCCCCACACCGGCTCACACTAATATACCACACTTTCAATTGCAGTCCCTCTGCCACACGTGCGACAAGTTTTAGTTAACATTATATTATAAATAGTAAAATACGCTTTTATTCGACAAAATAAGTATTTTATTAAGAATTCAATAATAATAATAAAATAATTGCATAATTATTACAATTAGTTTTCATTGAAACATATTTTTGTCATTAATATAAAAGCCAATGATTTTCGGTGACAACCAATCGCTAAGAGGTTTGACCGCAAAACAAGTGGACATCGAGTCTATGGAGAGTCTAATGGACTGTATTTTCGGCAATTAAGACAATTCACGGCACGTATTGTCTGTCATTTGTTTGCAATTAATAGACAAATATTGAAGTTTCGGTAAATTTATGGCAATATTAGTGAAAAAATGCACTTTTTTGGTGCTTTTGTTGAAGCGATCGATCTTTAAATGCGTTAATTGTTTGCATTTATCAAACGATTCACTCATTAATGCAAACTCTTTGGGAAATTCGCCGCTAATTTCCAAACGCTTTAAATGATTAAAACAATCGTTGATTTTGTCATTAATTTGGGCGAAACTCTTGTTTGACTTATTGTAATGAAGTGATAGTCGCTTCAGTTTCGGGCAATTAGTGGCCAATGGGTTCAACTGATCCCCAGATATACTGTTGTGTACAGTAATGCAAAGCTTGAGATCAATTAATGTCGGCATTTGTGACAAACAAGTCATTAGTATTGAATTTTTTGCTGAATTACAACGAGATATGATTTCAATTGCTTTCATTTGTTTGCCATATATTGTGGCAAATGATTGAAAACTACCGCTATTTTCACTTTTATATATAAAGCAAACATTTTGTAATTTCTGAAACAATATCTCATTCCTCTTACCACTCAATACAGACATTGAATCAATATTTAAATACAAAGAGCGCTCTCTTTAGACACTATTTTGAACACCAATTATAACACAATTAATATATACTTTTAATAAAACTTTTTTTAACCATTAATTCAATAAAATTTAACAATAATTATATTTAAACCAATAATTTATTATTTATTTTATGAGTTATTTTAAAAATGCTGTTAATTTAACAGTTAAATAAATTTGCTTAAATTTACTTTGATGAACATAGTGATGTATATTTAATAGTATTTATTAATTCAAATATTAATGTAACAATTTAAAATATCTTCTATCTAAAATTTTATTCCCTAATCATCGTTTAACTGATCCGATAAATGTGTTGAGCGATCACTAATCACATCCATTGATCATTAAATCACAACCCAATAGATACACAAAATATACGGCTTTTAATCGCTTTTATGTATAACTCGTTTGTGTGTCTTAAGAGCGCCGATATGTTTGGTCTTAAAGGCACAGCCCTTGCGATCGCACGGTGTCTGCGGTCCCGAGTGAACCAATTGATGTCTATTAAGCACTTTCGATAGTTTAAACGTTTTACCGCATTCGGGCCAATCACAGGCGTGCGGCCGATCGGCGCTGTGGGTTACCATATGCTCTCTCACCATGTTTTCACTTTTGCCCCTATAGTCACAACCGGGCCATTCGCACGGGTAGGGCCTGTCCTCGGTGTGGACCAATAGGTGTTTGTTTAAATTGCTCTTAAGTTTGGTCTTATAGCCACATCCGGGCCAATGGCACGCATACACTCTCTGGCGGTCAACCGAAAAGTGTTGATACTTATAGTGCGAACGCATCACATGTTTGTTAGTAAAGTCTTTGCCACAGTCGGGACACTGGATCGCGTCCAGAGTTGCGGTGTCCGTCGCCGGCTTCTTAATGTCAATTACTTGGACAACACTTGTCTGATAAGTGTTGGCCACATCTGTAGCCGCCCGACTCCGTATAGCTTTAAAAAATGACGGTAAAAATGAAATTATAAATGAACTTTAATTTTTTGCTACTAAATACCAGAAACTATTGGATCAACACTTTGGGTATCATTTAAGTCAATGACGAGATTGGGTTCAATGGTATCGCTAGTGGTTTTTATAGCATCGGTTGTCATATGATTACCGGCGGTAAAAGTATGACCAGTTGTGATGTCATTCATATTGCGGGACAGCAGTGGTCTCCGGTGTGTCTTCGTGTCAACGCCGGGGATCAGATGCGGTAATTTGTGTCTTAAGAGTTGCCAAAACTGTTTTCCATTCAATCCTTTTTAATAAAATATTTTATATATTGTTTATAACAGCGATTTTTATAAATACCTGATTTAGTATTGATTTGTTTGTTATTAGAGTTTTGTGTGTTTTTCAATGAGTGATGACTCGTTTGCTCGTCACTAATGGCCGGTAGTATCGGTTGTGCGGATCCAGTGCTGCATAACTGTCTTATCGGTGGTGTCTTCGCATTGATTATCACATCATTTGTTTCATCACTAGTTTTGGTCGACTTTTCATTCACTGCTTATTTAATAAATCAAAAACATGTTATGTTTTACGTCTAAAAATTAGGGTAAAACATACTGTAAATCAATACCTGATTTATCATTGCTTTGAATTGCGTTAACATTTTGCATGTCTTTCAATGAGTGATAAATTGTATTCAATTTAATCAAATCGTGAAATATTTCAATATTTTGATTGCATTTACAATTGTTTATCAAAATCATTGATTTTTGTCTAATTATTGACAAATATTCGCAAAGTTGTCGCAAACGTGATAACTCTTTGCAAAGTATTCGTTTGTCTTCTCGCAACTCATCTATTAAATCATTGAATACTTTGAATATTATTTTACATAAAAATAAAACAATTAAAGTTTAAGAACTAAACATTTAAAAAAGTAAATATAAATAAATACCTGATATAGCGTTGATTTGAAAAGTGTTAACATTTTGTGTGTTTTTCAACGAGTGATACATTTTATTAAATTTAATCAAATCGTGAAATAATTCAATATTTTGATTGCATTTACAATTGTCTATCAAAACCTTTGATTTATCCATAATTTGTTCCAAACATTCACACAATTGTATATCAATTACAAACTGTTTGCGAAGTTTTTCATTGTCTTCGCGCAACTCATTCAACAAATCTTTCATAACTATTGTCTCAGACATTGCTTTTCATTAATAAAGTAATTATAATATGCAAAAATTAAGTCGTTTTATTTAAAACTTTTAATTATTATATTAATTCTTTAAACAATTTATAAAAATTTACAATTTATTTAATAGTATGAAAAACACAAATAGTATGAAAGTCTTATTTAGACTACATTTTGAAGACTGTGTGTTGACTGCGTGTATGTGTCGTACAGATAGGGACTTATATAGGGACCAAATTAGGTCACTTATAGTTATTCTGGGACTATGTGTACAATATGTGTGTGTATTGTCGACACAGTGTTTGTGTGGAAATAGAGTTACAATTAATTAATTTATTGCTATATTCTATGGAATATTTATTTCAAAGACTATTGAAATGATTGTAAAAATTGAATTCTCGCAAATTGTCATTTTTCATTATACCTTTGTTCAGGTGTGGCACAACTTTTTATATTTCTATTCATGTTATTTGTTATAATGTGAATGACATTCAAGTGATTAGAATTAATGCGATTAAAAGTTTTAATTATTGTAATTAAATCACGGATTAGTTTTTATTATTGAAAACACTGGACGAGTTGCCGACCGGCCCGACACCGGCTCACACTAATATACCACCACTTAATTGCAGTCCCTCTGACACACATGTTGACCACTTTTAGTTACAATTATATTATAAATAGTAAAATACGCTTTTATTCAATAAAATAAGTATTTTATTATAAATTCAATAGTAATAATACAAGAATTGCATAATTATTACAATTAGTTTTCATTGAAACACATTCTTGTCATTAATATAAAGGCCAATGATTTTCGGTGACAACCAATCGCTAAGAGGTTTGACCGCAAAACAAGTGGACATCGAGTCTATGGAGAGTCTAATGGACTGTATTTTCGGCAATAAAGACAATTCATTGAACGTATTGTCTGTCAATTGTTTGCAATTAATAGACAAATATTGAAGTTTCGGTAAATTTAGGGCAATATTTGTGAAAAAGTCCACTTTTTTGGTGCTTTTGTTGAAGCGATCGATCTTTAAATGCGTTAATTGTTTGCATTTATCAAACGATTCACTCATTAATGCAAACTCTTTGGGAAATTCGCCGCTAATTTCCAAACGCTTTAAATGATTAAAACAATCGTTGATTTTGTCGTTAATTTCAGCAAAACTTTTGTTTGACTTATTGTAATGAAGTGATAGTCGCTTCAGTTTCGGACAATTAGTGGCCAATGGGTTCAACTGATCCCCAGATATACTGTTGTGTACAGTAATGCAAAGCTTGAGATCAATTAATGCCGGCATTTGTGACAAACAAGTCATTAGTCTTGAATTGTTGGCTAAATTACAACGAGATATGATTTCAATTGCTTTCATTTGTTTGCCATATATAGTGGCAAATGATTGAAAACTACCGCTATTTTCACTCTTATATATGAAGCAAACATTTTGTAATTTCTGAAACAATATCTCATTCTTCTTACCACTCAATACAGACATTGAATCGTAATTAGTGTTAATTTTGGCTAAATTTGGACATAACTTAAGACACAATTCAATGGCCTTTGGATTCTTCGAGCGCTGGTAAATGACCAGTGAATCCAATTGTTGGCCGCAATGAGTCAACAATGTCTTCATATCGCAGTCATCGGGACAATAGTCCAGTGAATCCAATCGATGGCAGTGTTTGACAATTGTCTCCGGTTTTACAATTTGGTGATAGTCTTAAATTGTTGTCAAGTTTTGGCACTTTTTTGCTATTATTTCATATGATTTCACGTTTTGTTTCAAAGACTTCGTTGAGTTGAATGTGAGATCTGTTTGCGTCGCGTATATCACTCTTTGCCACTGTTTGGACACCTCTTCGTATCGGAACCGCTCTTTCAATGATAGATAAGACAACAATAGTTGGCACAAATCATCGCCGGATCTGTCCATTGATTGGCGACTATTTGTGTCACTTTTGGGATCAACTCTTCTTCTC